CTGTAAGGGCCAGCAAGTAAATAACATAGACCCAGTGCAAAACAGCAACAGGACTGTCTAAAGGAAGCCGCTGATCTCAGCTCCAGCCAGTCATTGCCATTTGAAAATGTGGGCTAGGCATTGCCAGATCCTCTGACCCGTCAAGAAAAGTGGAAAAATCCAAATATTTATGTGAAATCTCCTGGCTTTTAAATGTTGGCAACTAATCCAAAAATGCTCAGAAGCTTGAGCAGCTAATGAACACAACTCTAATAACCAATCTGGCCCTTGTGTCACCGAACGCAGCCTCTCTTGCTTATTTTATCTTCCCAGAGTGTCACCATTTTGGCAAGGCAGATACCCCATCTCCTCTCTACAGAAGAATAAACAGAGGCTCAGACCGGCTAATAACATGCCAAAGGCCTAACAGCTAACGTAGCAGAGGCAGGACTCAGACCCAGTAGGGTGCATTTTTGTCCAGGACGTACTGTTGGATTTCACTACCTGCACGGAAAAGCCCACAGCAGGCATCCAGGGTGGACAGGCAATGCTCCCCGACTCCGCACCCAGCCACTTCCATCTGGTGGCTCCGCCATCTTCAACACATGCCTTCCAAAGTCCCCTGGCCTGCCCGGCAGAGGAGAGAGGACCACCAAGGATCACTTTTATGGGGCAAGCCTGGAAGTGGCACGTATCACACCTGCTGGTGTCCAGGTGGCTAGAATTCGGTGACAAAACAACACCCAGCTACAGATGGAGTCCAGCCATGTGCTCAGAGAGAGGGGCAGGCAGACTTCGCAGTCTCTTAGCTATTCTGCCACCAACTTACAGGAAAATGATTTATCTTCTCCAATGTTGTCCTTGTTTTGGTTGGAAATACCTCTTTTGTGTTAAGGTCTCAAATTTTTGCCATATCATTAAGACTAAGTCTAGTAGAATACAGATCAGCAAACCTTCTCTACTTGACAAAGTACCCAACTGCTACTTGGAGTTCATTATTCCCGGTATGGTGCTGTGCACATAGTAGGCACTCAGAAATATTTTCTTAAATGAATTAATTAGCCCTGGGGTTGGGAAGAGAGACTCTGTCCTCACTCCAGCACGCTGGCGAGACAGCCTGGCCTGTCACCGCACCTTGCCGGGTGTCAGGGCTCCGCTGCACTTGGAGGGGTGGTGGGCTCCAGGAAGGGCCCGGGGCAGAGTGTAGATTTAACATCTCGCTGAGCTCTGAGCCAGTAACTTTGGGCAAGTCTCTTGATCTCTTCAAGCTTTGGCTTCCCATTGTGGAAGGAAGTTAATTCCCACAGGACATGCTTTAAGTGGAGCTCCTTGCTGTGGAGCCACCTGAGGTCAGCTAATCTGCAACAGGGTCCAACACGCCGGAGACGTTCAATGAACAATTGCAAACAGACACGAAGGTGGGCGAGGGACAGAGACTGGAGCAAACCACAGCAACCCAAGTCTGTCGGCACGGCCGGGGGAGTCCCAGATGACCAAGCCCGAAGACGGGGACCGTTGGTGCAGTCCCCATGAGGACAGGTACACTTTCACACACACGGGGCTGCAGCAGGAATCAGAGAGCACAGGACTTGAGGGTTGTCCCGAGAGCAGGGCTCCTAACCTGTGTGCGGGGCACGTGGTTCTGCCAGGATGTAGTGATCACCTGGCCCTGGGTGGCTGGTGGGCCCCGACACACCTTCTAGCCTCCAAGGAGTGTGGCAGAGGCTCCAAAGCCCCCTTAACTTACCCCTGTCTGTGTAAGTAGCTCCGTTCTCTGCGTGTGCTGGGACATGAGCAAAGTTGGGAAGCCCTGTCCTTATTCATCGGAACAAAGCTTTTTTCCCCAGAAGCCCAGGTCACTCAAGGGTTAAAAGCAGAGCTTCTCTGGTTGGGGGGAAGAGAAGAGCAAGAACCAGCCCAGCCTTAAAGCAAATGCACCACCAGCCACGGCTGGGCCCGAGGCTCCTCCCCGGGAGGCTGTGGGCTCTGTGCAGAGAAACGGCGAGATTATGGCCCTGGGGTATGTACACCCACCATTACATACCCGTGAAATCGGGCTAAATTGAATATCAAGTATAGGTTTAAATTGGAAAAAAGAAAGTCACTGGCAGCCAGAAACAGGAATAGAGGAAACGGTGACCTTGATTTTAGCGAAGAGCACAAGGCAATGCTCCTCCGACTTGGACAGAACGTAAGAACCTCCTGGGAAGCTCGCACAGCCCTGGGGCTCAAGCCATGGCAGGAAGTGCACGGAGTCCTTCTGCGGACCCCTCTCTCTCTCTCGGGAGCGCTGACACGAGGCAGCGGCGGCCAGTATCTGCCGCTGAACCCAGACGTCCCCCGGCACTCACGACTTCCGGGCCACTCTTATTGCACCTGGCACACAGCGTGGATGGACAGAGGTGAGAGCCCCACACTACCTCCCTCCACAGTTGCTCTCAGACTGCGGTTTGCATCGGAAGCCCCCAGCGTGTCGGCTGCACCCTGGATTGCCAGCCCCTGACCCCGCAGTGTCTGTCCAACAAGCGCCCGAGTTCCCAGGCGGTGCCGAGGCTGCTGGCCGGGGACCACGCTTGCAGCCACAGCCCCAGACCTGGGTTTCTGGGCGTCAGCACCGCGGAGATCTGGGGCCAGACAGCCTAGTGTCGTGGGGACTGCCCTGTGCCCTGCAGCAGGGCCACCAGCATCCCTGGCCTCTGCCCACCAGATGCCAGCAGCGCCTGCCCCCCGCCCAAACTTGTGACAACCAAAAGTGCCTCCAGATATTGCCGAACGCCCCCTCCCCATTTGAGAGCAACAGCGTGATACTGGCGAGGCTGGCTGAGGGCTCCTGGCAGCGGATTTACTCCTTTCCCTGTCTTTTATTATCAGTTTTGCTCTCTGTTCACTCTCTTCCCAGCCAGCCACGTGCTGCCTGTGACTAACACCCCTGCCCTGTCTCCATTTACCCCATGGGCGTGGAAACAACCCGCCTCTGTCCCTTAAAGAAGTTTCCTCCCAACTTACCTGCTCGTGAGAAACAGCTGCTCCTCCCATGAAAGGCAGACCCCGGGCCCCTGTGGAGACCCCTGCCCTGAGGCAGGGGTGGGGCCCTGGGACCTGCGTGTCTCAAAAGTGTCCCAGGTAAAGCTGAGTGTCACGAAACCTGGGCAGCTCTGCCTCAAGACACATCACTTGGGGAACCTGCTAGACTGCAGATTTGACGCAGTGGGTCTGCACTTCTAAGCAGCTCTCAGGACTGCCAGCTTGTGGGTCCACGAACCGCACCCTCCGCAGCAGCCTCCTAGGGGACCAAGCAGGCTGTGGCCACCGCGGGCCCCACCAACGCCGGAGGTGCTGGCGGGGCGAGTGCGCAGAGCACCGGGCACCACTGTCCCTGGGGCTCGGTGGGCCCTTCCTGTCCTCAGGACGCTTCTCGAGAGCCCCCGCACCACTGTGGACCAGGCCCCCCATCCTGTCACCCCCTTCCCGACACCCACAGTCCACCTGCTCTCCGGCGGCCGTGGGGCACAAAGCCTCCTGGCCTAGTGCACGGGGCGGCTCGGCTTCCCGCCCCTTCCTCCTCTTCCCTTTCTCCATTATGGAGAAATCTCGAACTCATCCGCGGGAAGGTCCCCTCCAAAAACGTTTCCCTGCAGAGAAGTCCAGCTTTCTTCTTCCCGAGAGGAGTCCGTGGCTCTCCGTGGAGGCGGTTCAGTAAGTGCGCTCAGCCTCACCTGGCCGGGTCGGAAACTCGCAGAGAAGCCGCCACTGCAGGTGGAGCCCCGCGCCCAGCACCCGCCAGGTGACCAGATGCGCGCATGCCAGAACGCTCCTGCTCCCCAGCGAGCTTCTAAAATAGATCCCCCTCCCATCTGCGCGCGAGGTAAACATCGGTTCTTTTTAACACCAGCCGATGAGGCCGCAGCGTCTTGGTTTTGCCGCCTGGCTCCCTACAGCTAGTGGGCTCCAAGCCACGGGAATAGCTCTGCGGGCGACATCCTTGCTTCCCGAACACCATATAAACTTACAGAAACACAGGCAAATCTGGAAGCATAAGTTGTCCTTGTGATTTATACCCGTAATGACACTCATGCCTAAATTATTTATGTAATATGATAATGCTCCGTCAGTTGTAGGCACTTTGAGGTGAGCCTGTGCAGATAACCTCTCTCCTTCCCGAAAATAAAACAATGTCAAAACAGAACAATGCAGGATTTTCTTAAGACTGAAACGAGGATGTGATTTGCAAATGTCATGTTTTCGGGGCATGAGTAATACGCTCATTATTCATAATCTACAAACCAACCTGGAATCTATGAGGCTGTTGTAAAGGCAAACGAGGTGAGAGTCTGTATCTAAACATGCCAAACACATCGGGTATTTCTTTTTGAATTATTTAGACTTGATCACCCACACATGCTGATTGTTTCATGTTTGGCGTTAATTACCTCGTTGAATCACCTCAGTGCTCTGAGCACAGGCTGCAGAAACACAGCAGAGGTTGGTTTTGCCTCGGCTGTGCTCTAAATTAGCACAGCACACTTAAGAACAAAGGAGAAAAAGGGGGAAACTGTCGTCTAGAGACCTGGGGAGAAGCTAACAAGATGTAAGGCCACCGATACTCTGTTCCCCAAGTCGGCGTTCGCCAGACTGCCACGCAGTAGTGGCACCGAACTCGTTTCTCCTGGAAGCTGGGTTCTCGTGAAAGATAGGCACGTGTCTGGCAAACAGGAGCTCCGACCATGCTGGATGGTGGCAGGCCTTTCCTGCCACTTAAAGAATGATTTGAGTACAAAGCACGCAGGGCACGTTCCCGGCTCTCCTTGTTCACTCTGGTTCTTCCCTTTCGACTCCGGGGAACCAGAAGTCAATTCTGCAGAACCGAAGCAGAGGGGAGATCTCTCCGAGGTTCCCCCAGTGCAACCGGGGTAGGGGCGCCCAGACCCTGCCAGCGGAAACGGGCTGACCTCGCAAGACCAAAATGCTCAAAGGCAGGACAACGTCGAGGCCAGTCAGTGTTACAGGAACGTGGGTCCTTCCAAGGTCTCCCATGAGAAGCTAGAAAACACAATGCAGCAGTCATGACGCCTGCTCCGGCCTCAGTGTGTCCCCCCAGATTCACACACTGGAGCCTAAATCCCAGTGCGACAGTGTTAAGAGACGGGGCCTTTGGGAGGTGCTGGGGCTGCACGCTGCTGGGTGGGACCGGCACCTCCCCGAAGGGCTTGAGGGGCCTCGCCAGGCTCTTCTGTCCTTCTGCTCTGCTGCCACGCCAGGGCACAGCAAGAAGGCCCTCACCAGACACTGAATGCTGGCGCCTTGACCTTGGACTTCCCAGCCTCCAGAACTGTAAGAAATAACTTTCTGTTGTTTACAAATTGCCCAGTCTAAGGTGTGTTGTGATGGGAGCGTGAACAGCCTGAGACGATGCCCTGGGAGATTCCCTGAGGGCGAACTGCTCACTCGCTACGGGAGGCAGGATTCCAGATGGTCCCCACCAGCCCACCCTCTGGTGCACACGGCGTACACAGTCCCCTCCGTTTGCGTGCTTGGGGACCTCTGTGAGTAGGTGTCTGGCCCACTGGCGCTGGCGAAGACAGGTGCTGGCCGGGAAGGAGAGCACCGTCCAGGCTGGGAACCGCCCTCGTGGAAGTGCAGCAGCCTCCAGGGGTGGAGAGCAGCCCTGGCCAACAGCCGCAGGGACAGGGACTCTGCCTCAGTCAAGCCCCCAGAGCCAGCCCCCTTTGACCCCGGCCCCCTTTGACCCCTAGCAGGGGCGCTGGGCAACCCATACCCGACTTCCCGACCCAGAGAGAACGTGTAGCAATAATCGCGTGTCGTTGTTCTACGTGGCTGCGTTTGTGGTGATGTGATCTAGACGGTCCCTCCCCAAACCCACCACTGGCCTCAGCCGGATGCCACTTCCCGAGCACGCCCCGCACCCTGGCTGCCTGTCTCTACACGCCTTCGCTGCCCCGTTTCTCACTCACGCCAAGTTTAGAACCAGAGTCACGTGCACTGGGCCATTTTTACATCCTCTCCTCTTGATGGCAGATCTCAGTGCCCCCCTGGGGTCCCCACCCGCAGTCAGTTTCCGGTGCCCTGCACAGGGGCCCCATGGGTGTCACACAAACAAGCCCTATGGGCCGGGCCACCCGGACCACCATTTCCTTGCTCTCTGCTCACGAGGCCTCTGTTGCCCACCTGGATGCCTTTGGTGACAGAAGAATTAGCTTCCCCCCCCCACCAGCATCACCAGACCAGCCACATGTTGGAAGCTCTGGGATCCTCAACACACCAACACTACGTGTGACCCGCTGTCTCCGGGGGTCCAAACGCCCACAGAGGCTCCCGTGTGTCCGGGGCATCTCCATGGCAGCCGGTCAGCTGGGAGCCCCTCCTGCAACGCGCTGCTCAGCCCGGCCCCTGCCGCCCCTCCTCAGCCCCCGAGACCCCGCCGATCTCTCACGCGGTGAGTCTTGTTGCACTGGCACCTGCCCCAGGCAGCTCTCGAGGCATCATCCGTCCCTAGGATCAACCCACCCCTCCTCGAGAGGGACCCTCTCGTCATGTTCTCTCAGCACTCTGAAGTCACGCTAGGCTCCCCCAGAGTAGTGGAAGGTAGACCCCCAAATTTCCTACAGCAATGTTGGTAAAGCATTTGCTGCGTAACCAACGACCCCGAACTCAGTGACTTAAGCCACGGTGACTTAGGTTGTCTCCCACGTCCGTGGGCTGGCTGGTGGCGTCTCTCCCGGTGCCGCCTGGCTCGCTCGGGCAGCTGCGCCGAGCTGTGCCGTGGTCCTGTAAGGTCCCAGCTGGCCTCCCCAGCGTGCCTGTGCTTGGTGTGGGCCGTCGGTGGGTGCCTCGGTTGCCCTCACACGGCCTGTCACCTCGGACAGGCCGACCGGCGTCTCCCCGCGGTCATCGCAGGGCAGCGTTCCAACAGAGTGAAGCGGAAGCCGCAGCCCCCCCGAGCCCCGTGTCCGCCGTCTCGGAGCGTCACCCCCTACGCTCTGCTGGCGGACGCCCCTCACCACAGGGCCGGCCCAGACTCAAGGGCGCCGTGACACGAGGGTGGGGCGTGGGCTTTGCGTCCTGATGGGAAGAACAAGAAGGGCTCTTTGCGAAGGGGCAGCCACACCTGGAGGGGAGCAAGCTGAGGGCACGTTTCGTGATCTACGAGCTGGCCCCTTTTATCCTTACTTCATCCCTTACTCATGCTCATGTGAGCGCTCTCTCTCCCCCCTCTTCTCTCTCTCCCTCCCACCGCCCCATATATATACATATCCCTCCCTCTGTCACACACGTGCACGCACACACCCTTAAAAATCAGACATGAGCCCACAGAGTCCTGGACCAGGAGACAGGCCCAGGTCAGAAGCACAGTGATGTCTTCAGAGTCTGTTGTCCTTCTTGGATTCGGCCCGAGTTTGTCTTCCTGACTTTCTTTAGTTCCTCTCCAAGGGCGTACTCGATCCCTTCAACGTAGTCATTTCCAGGTGGCCGGACTGGACCTTGAGTGCCAGGACTCGGGCCTGTCTGTCTCCAGCCTGGGAGACAAGCCCACACCCTCACGGAGCTGCCCCCAGCACAGCCCGTGCGCGGAGCAATGCCAGCGCCGCTCTGCGGTGGGCCCTCTTCCACGGGACCCGCAGTCGCCTGCCCTGCACTGGGTCGCTTTCCCACGGAGGGACAGCACAGGGCAGCAGAGGCCGGGGGAGGAGGATGCCTTAGGCTGCAAAACCTAGCAGGGGCAGGACACCGGGGTGAGGGACAGACGGCAAAGAGAAGCCGCTGGAAAGCAGGGCCCGGGGGCCACGGGACGCAGGGGCAGGCGGCAGGCAGGTTGGAGCCCCCGTCCCCAAGTCGGGGCTGGGGGCGGGGACCTCGGGGGTGATGCTGGGACAAGCTCCAATCACGCAGTTCAGGAAGAGAAGCCTTGCTGGACTCGGACGCATCTCGCGCGCGTGAGACAGATTTCCGTGAGGAAGGAGAGCGTGAAGAACGAGTCTCAGCCTCGAGAGCTGTGGCCACACACGCTTGACATTGTCGCCTCGATGGGACGTGAGCCATCAGGACAGTGAGTACACCGTGCTGCCCAGCCCGAGCACCCAGTCGCAATATCCAAGTTCATCAAGCTGACGAATGTCGGCTTTTCTCTGTGCGATATAGACATAAGGAGACCCGGAGAATATACAAGATCACTTTTCCCCGAACAAACAAAAAACCCCAGTGATAAAAAGCCATTAACCTGAGTCCTTTCAGAGTCCAACTCTGCAGAGTGAAGCTGTTTCCTTTCTGCCTCTACAGGAAAACCCTGGCCGCTCACCTGAGCCCATCGAGCCGCTCAAAACTGCCGTGGTGGAGACAGGAATAAGCAAACAAACAAAAAGGAACCTCTGCCGACTTCAGAGTTAGGAGCGGCAGAACACATGGGGTGAGGAAAGGAAGAAGAGAGACTTTTTCAAAGAGGCAATTTAGAAATTATGGTTTGGGGGAATTTTTAAAAACCAGCTTGGTACATTTCTATTTTAAAATTAATGGCATATACTGGATCAAAAATGCTATTTCCAGCAAATTGCACAGATAATTAAGTCTAATTTCAATGATGTTTGAAATAATAGCTATAAATCTTTATGGGTTCTTGTATTCAATCCATACTGAAAATTCATTTAAATCTTATTTTCATACACATTTTTCTCAACTTGGTGACATTTTATGAGTTCAGTTAACTAAGGCTATGTCTACACAACCAAACACTACAGACAAAAAGGGAAAAAAAGAAAATTATTTGGCAAACTGAAGTGTTTGAAAAATGGGTTTGTCCCATTTATACATAGGACCACGCCAATTCTCTACTGGTTTTCCTTTTGTGTCTGTAATATGTTGTCAATTCTCATCCCTCAAGTGTCAGAATAAATGGATTGTAATTGTCTCCCATAGACATAATGTAGATTGAAAGTTGTGATAAATACATACTTTAAAGAACGGCGTCAAACATCTAACTGAGGGTAGCTTGGGGAGATGGCAGAGAGTTGTCAGTTCAAACAGATCCCCGAGCAAACCGCTGCTGGGAAATGCCACCACCCAGGGCCCCATGCAGTTCTTAGACCTGACCCCCCACAAAACAGCACTGTATAAAGAAATTCATTTCCGTGTTTCCCTTTGACCCTCTCCCCCCAGCCAAGAGGCAGGTGAGGCTGCTGAGGTGTCTTGTGGGGCCCAGTGGAAAAACTTGCACTGGGAGCCTACTATCCCAATCCAGACCTCTTGTCACTACACCATATGCCAAGGGGAGTGGTTTGCAGTAGAAATGTGCACTAACCCCAACGTGCCACCACCGCCTGCAAAAAAAAAAAATAAAGAAAGAAAATTAAATGTGTCCCTACCATCTGGCCCGTGCAGCAGAAATTATATTTTGACATGAATGTCTATAATGCTGCCTTCCTTTGACATTTCATTTCAGGGTTCAGCAAACTTTTTCTGTAAAGGGCCATGTAGTAAAGGTTTTAGGATTTGCAGGCTATCTGGAAGGTCTTTGGTGCAACCACTGAGCTCTGCCACTGTAACACAGAGGCAGCTGTAGACGATGCATAGACAATGCCTGTGACTATGCTCAAAATAAAACTTTATTTACAAAAATGTGCAGAGGGCTAGATCGGGCCCGGACGCCGTGGTTTGCCAATTTCTGCTTCTCGTCGTACACAGAGACACAGAATGTGGACGCTGCCACCTAAGCCATGCTCATAACAAAATGCAGCGTATAGTGAGGTCTGTGTAGTGAGTGGAATGTTAGTATTTATGTTCTTACATTTACATGTCAACACCCACATACTTCGAGAAAAGATTTCGAAAGGCTCATGGTAAATCCCCATTTGCAAACGTATGAAAGGTACTTGAGTGATCAGAAACTACTCAGAGAAAGTAGGAAAATACATGACTAATCAGATATCCCCCTAAATATTCAGGGTTGTATACAGCTAACTCTCAAACGAGGGCTGAATTAGCACGAGGTTTGGCCTTGAGCCTCCTGGTAGGCCAAGCACAAAGGTCACACCACCATTTTTCAGGGAATATAAAATGTGAAAACACATTTCAAGGAGAAGTTAATCCCATAAATAACACTGTTGTATGTGGACGGTATCTTTAGCCAAGGTGCCATTAAACACGCAAATATCTCAGGATGTCTCGTGGAACCTCAGTGAAGCCAACCCCTTCTTAACCGCTAACATAGACCAAGCCCCCTGTTCCCTGCTCAGAGGACAAAGCTGGAACCTGGAGGGTGGGCATCTCCCTCAGGCCCAGGGCTCCAAACCCGCGTAATCCCACCAGTGAGAGACAGGGAGTGTGGGAAGCCACGTAATTAACGTGGGTCTTCCTCCCAGAGCACCCAATTTATGCCAAGACTTTGAAGATAGGCGAGACACACATCTGCACCATTTTAAATGCATATAGACTGTGGGATGGGATGCAAAATTTATATATGACTTTTCCAGATCAGTGCCCAGACTGCAAAGACAGACAGCATTGCTTTGTGATAAAAATCCTATGTTCCAAACCGGACACCTGGGTGCAAATTCTCCTGTCCTGGTAGAGCCCTGAGGAAGTTACGTTATTTCTTTGAGACCTAGTTCACCAATGTGTGAAACGGGGCTAAAATATCACACCTCCCCGGCTGCTGTTGGGATCGAACAACCTGCATAGCGCTCCCCTCTCCACCTGAGTGATCTGGCTGTCACTGCACGACCTGCCTCTCCTTCCCAGCTCTGTGCTGTCCCATCAGCCCTCTGAGGGTGGCCCCTGCTCTGCAGCATCCTTAACGGCTCTCACTACTAATCTTCTACAGAATTGGAATGGTGCTTCCAGGTATCCAGATCTGGGGTACAGCAGCCGTCTCCACCTCCCTGGGAAACGCCCCAGTCTGGAGTGGACCAGCGGGTGAGCATTCACCCAGTGACTCCCGGTCTCTACCAGCACAGATGCTGAGAACGTGGTTAAATATCACATTTGACATTATAAAAAGATGCAATCAGATCTGAATTATTTTTCATGTTGGAGGAGAAGCTAAATAATTCATAACCCTAAACCACTCTTGTTTGAACAGACATTATTTGTCCGAAGTCCGGTGTTGTCTGCGGTAGGTCACGCATTTGCATTCCTAGCAACTTATTATTTCTTGACAAATATCAGATTCTTACAGAGCACTGCATTTTTATTTTAAAAAAAAGAATTTAAGCCTCAACATGAAACCATTTGGTTTTTTTTTTAGATGTAATCACCCACATTACTTAATTTATATATGTTTAATTTTTTATTCCATTCTAAAATTACTTATTGATCGCCTACTGTGTTCAAAGTCCCAACTTTCCAAAAGCTTCCATCAGGGTCAGGGGCTGTGAAGGGGGTCAGATGGCATCGCCCCCTGCAGAGCAGGGAAGCGAGGCAAAACGCCAGGGAGGGAAGAGCAGAGGTTTTCGGGTCAGACGACCTGCACTGCAAAGCCCGGCTCTCCACCTGCCTTGCTGGGAGAACCTGGCATGTGGCTTCGCCCCACTCTGCTTTTACTTCCTTGCCTGCACAGTTAATGGGAATGCCTACCATGCAAGGTCGCCCCAGTTGATGAAGACTAAGTGTGAGAATGCTCTCCCCGTGCCTGACTCAACAGTCTATATCAGTGAGCAGAATGCTTACAATAAACAAAGGCCGTGGCAATCTGAAGTAGGATGGAAAAAAAATCATAAAACATACAGGATCTAGGCCAGGCATGGTGGCTTGCACCTGTGATCCTAGCACTTTGGGAGGCTGAGGCAGAAGGATTGCTTGAGGCCAGGAGTTCAAGACCAGCCTGGGCAACATACTGAGACCCTGTCTCTACAACAAATTTAAAGAATTAGCTGAGTGTGGTGGCACGAACCTGTAGTCCTAGCTACTCGGGAGGCTGAGGCAGGAGGATGGCTTCAGCCCAGGAGTTCAAGGTTGCAGTGAGCTATCATCACACCACTGTACTCCAGCCTGGGCAGCAGAGCCAAACCCTGTCTCTAAATTTAAAAAAAATAGAAAATCTATAAAAAGTTATTGTCTGTGTAAGTTCATCATTTAATTCTTCTACCAGAATCAAAGTATGAATTCCGATTTAATACTGGGTAAAAATTTGGCTATAATGTTTTGTTTGTAAATCATAAGTCGTTTCCCTTTATATATAATTATGAAGAGGTAGAGTCTCCTCAGCCCAGAACCTTCCAGAATAGTTGCACAGTTGAAAACATGAACTAATCCAAATGTCCTCAGATGAACCGTGGGGCTCTCAGGGACTTCTGTCCAACTGCACAGAGGCCTGGGGACAACAGCCAGTCCCTCCCGGCCTCCTCTCCCTCCCTGGACATCCACCCCCACTGGGCCACCGCCAGAAGAGAGAGGGAAGCTCACATCTGCCTGCTCTCCCTTCTCTCTGTCAAATGGGACCGCTCCAAACCACCCTACCATTTTCCTATTTTTAGCCTCCACTCTTCAATATTCCCCAACCTCTTAGCAGGCCTTGCCCCAGCTGCTTCCATCCAACTCCAGGTAGGGCTGGAGTTGATGATGCTTTTCTCTGTGTGGCCAGCAAGTGGCTGTCACATGTTAACCAGTTCACACACACACACACACACACACACACACACACACACACACGCGCGCGCGCGCGCGCGCGCACCAGCTCACACATGCGTGCACACACACGTGACCATTCAAGCCCCCAGAACACTACCCCCCCATCGCTGCCATCCACAGCCGACTCTGGGGAAATCTGCAGCCTGCAGCAGGCAGAGGAAGCCCGAGCTCCTTTGTCTTTTGAATTTCAAAGCACGGCCCCGAGGGAAACAGAAAGCGCTGAGGTCAGGCACCAAAGATTTGGGAAAATCTGCGAGGGCTCAGAGCTCTGCTCTCCACTCTCAGTCCGGAAATGACTCGCTGAGAAGAAAGATCCAGGGTGGTGGAGACGGGGCAGGTGTTTGAGACAGGGCTCCTTCCCGCCCACAGCCCAAGTGGCCCAGAGGAGGGGACTCCTCAGTGGCCCAGGAGGTTGTGGGATCCCAGGGGTGGGGGACCTGTGCCCCTGGCCCCGGTGGAGCTCTGGGAAGATGCCCGCTCCAGAGGAGACGGCTGGGGGCCGGTTAGGGTTAGGGTTACGGTTAGGGTTAGGGTTAGCACGCAGCGTGCTGGGCGAGTCTGGGCTCCGCGAGCTTCAAGAGCAACAGCTCAGTCCCACGTGGCCTCCAGGCTCAGGAAGAGGGCCGGCCCGAGGAGCCTCCCAGACAGACACGGTGACTGCTCCTCAGACCCCAGGGCCCTGTCAGAGCACATGCAAGTCTGGACACGTGACGGTCAAGGACCCGAGGCAGCTCCCTGCTGCGGTGTCTCTGGGAAAGCCCACCCCAGCCTCTCCCCGGAACTCATGCAACTGGAGAGCAGCGGTGGGAGAAGGAAACCAACTAAGATTTAGAGAAATAGAAACAAACTGGGTTTTAGAAAAATTCAGTCTCCTGCCTTCCTTGATCCCCTGAGCGTGTAACCCGGAGGCACAGCTGCGGCGTGTACCCCTCAGTCACTCCCTCTTCTGAAAGCGGTAGGCGCAGGGGACGATTAGGGGAGAACTAACTGGGTGGCATGTAGCAGGTGCCTCCCAATACGCAGCTGCCGGCGGCCAAGGACTCTGGACGCCGAGAAGTCACAGCCCTTCACCGCGCCTGCTCCAAAGGCCGGGGCGGGAAAGCAGCTGTGACCAGGTGTTACGCGTTTATTCAAAGTGTCCTCAGATCTAACGCTCGGCCTGGAATCCCCGAAGATCTCGCCACCTGCCTTCCTCCCTCTCTCATAACTATCAAGACGTAGTTTTGCTCAAAATATCCTTTCAGGTGTTCCATAAAATAATACGGACTCACTTCGGATCTCTCTGCTTAAGTGGCACTAACAGGCGGAGACGTGTGGACAGGCGGCAGCTGGACCTTGCCCGAGGCAGGCAGCCTCTATGCTGAGCCTCCCAGGAGCCGCCTCCTGCTAACCCCTCCTGGTATAATTCCCTCCCCTCGGGCGTGGCCCGGACCTAGTAACTGGGCCTCTAGAATAAGCAAACGTTATGGATGTCACCTGTGAGTTTTAGGTCACAAAGAGACTGTGGCTTCCGTCTTCCATGCCTTCTCTCCTGCTCACGCTGAGGATGCAGCTCCCTGCTGCCAGCTGCCTGCCGAGGGGCCCACGCGGCGGCGAGGAGTGAGGCAGCCAGCGTTGTCTTGCCGACAACCACGCGGGTGAGCCCGGAAGGAGAGTTCCCCTGTGGAGCCTTCGGCTGAGACTGCAGCCCCCGGGGAGACTGAGGCAGAGGCACCCAGCTTCCTAACCTACAGAGGTAGGTTATTACCTACCCAGGTAATGAGGCTGTGTTACTTGAATCCACTAAGCTTTGGGGAAATTTATTATATTATAGGTAACCAAGATATCCTACAGTATTTTCTTTAACGATAGAATTTCAAATTTCCCCTACGTGGGGGAAGAAATTGTCTTTCGTTTATTCATTTAGTTTTTACTCTGTAAGAAACTTCATGAGCTGCTCACACAAAAGGCTAAATGTAGCCTGTGCCTTCTGAATCGCCTTGTCCATCTTCTGTCCTGAGGACCTTAATACAGTCTCCCTGCATTTTAAGTTTTACATTTTTAATTCTTAAAATGTAAGGAAAAAAAAAAAAGAACAGGAGATATTTTCTCTGCATGTACTATTCATGCTCTTTAAATAGCGAACAACATTCTCCCTCAATCTCAATTTCTAGGCTCTTGCTCTATCAAGTGTTGCAAAATTACATTTTTCCCTACATTACCTGGAAAGATTGTTCCTTTCATATCTTATGCACTAGCTGTTCTGACAGAGCAATCTCTGTGCAAAATATAAAGAACCCATTATTTGGTAAATTAATGCTTCTGTTATTATGGGTATATTATGGGATCATGACATTTTTCTCATTCCTGCCCCACTGGGAGGCATCACCACACATCTCAACCAATTTCAACCCCACGTCAAAACTTTGCTCTAAGTGGCATCTTTAATATTAGCCGTCGGTAGCGGCTGCTTTCTGCAAGTAGAAGGTTAGTTTTAAGCAGTGGTCTCTCAGGAAGGCTTCGACCTAGATCTGCCTCCGCGTGCAAAATAGCATGGAAAGCCCAGGCGACCACCTGGATAGTTCAACTTGCCCCCAAATTCTGCTTTGGCTGGAAGTATCTTGATAGTTTATATGAAATATGAAGGGGGTTCACGTGTGTGGACAGTGCACCTCGTGGCTCCATGGCGCCATCTCTGCATCCCCTGGCTCCCTTGCCCCTCATCCCAGCACACGGAGGTGTCCCCTGCTATAAACAGTGCCCTTAGGGCACCAGAACTTCCCAAATTTGTGTGTTCACTGGCTCCTTTGCACAGTGTTTTCTCCTACTGGGATATAAACTGGGGGAGGAAAAAATAAAAAATAAACTGGGGGAGGGCAGGGACTGCGTCTCCCTCACACGGAGCACATCCCAAACCCCCACCCGGGTGACCAGTCCCTTTGGACAGATGCTCAGGACAACCTCACATCTGATTACAATGATCAAAAGTCAATTAGGTCGGCCACAAGAAGAAGGAATTGGTTGGGAAGGACTTAAATTGTAGCTCTATAATGTAACCGGCCTTGCAAAATGTCCCTTCCTAAGCTGTCTCAGGTTCCCTCAGCCTTCACCGGTCACGCCTAACAAGCAGACTCAGCCAGCCTCCCCGCAGGACTCACTGTCCGTCACCAACAGCTCATTCCTGAGTCCGATCACCTGAAGGCCCTGCGACTTCCAGTCCTGCAACCGACCTGCGCTCTCTGGCCCCTGCAAAAGCCCTGCCCTTAGCCCCCCACAGACATCTTCCATATCAAAGTTCCTTTCCTCCTTGGCAATCTTCATCGTCTCAGTCACTGGCTGTTCGTGCAGCGAGCGATGGGACCTCGGGCTGGACCCCTCTTGGGTTTGGTAACGATGTCAAAGTCAAAACAGACAGTTGGAGAAAAAACCTTTTTTTTTTTTTTTAAATATGTAATGCAATTTACTGGAGTGAAGAGGAGGTTACATAAACAATTTCAAACTGCCATTCCTTCTCCACTGAGTTCAATGATTTCTTTTTCACCAAGTTCAGTGATTGTCTAGCCCTGCTTCCTCTCTCTCATGGGGCTGGCAGGCTGTCACAGCACTGCGGCGTGGGAACTAAGGTAAACCGAGGACCCAGACCCTACATAGTCACCCAGAGGCATGGCAATTGCCCGGCTGGCTCTCCCGGCAGCCTCGGGTCCCCGTGGCAGGGCCCGGCACTGGGCCTGGAGTATGGCAGGTGTGGATGTTCATTCTCTGTGGCTGCTGCTAGGAATCATCCCGGAGGCAGTGGCTTCAAACAGCACGGATTGGTCCTCTTGCGGGTCTGGCGGTCAGATGTCTGACGCGCATCTCCCTGCGTTAAAGCCAAGGTGCTGGCAGGGCTAGCTCCTTCCGGAGGCTCTGGGAGAATCTGTTTCCTTGCCCTTCTCAGCTGCTAAGGCCACCCACATTCCTTCACTCCCAGCCAGCAACGGCGGCAAGTCACTCGCACGTCACGTCACCCGACCCTGACGCTCTGACTCCCCCTCCCACGTTCAGGGATGCTTAACGATCACATTGAGCCCACCCAGGTAATCCAGACTAGTCTCCCTGTTAAGGGCAGCTGACTACCAGCCTTAATTCCATCTGCAACATCCATTTCCCTTTGCCACGTGACCTAACATTGCCACAGGCTCTGAGGGTCGGGGCGGGGAGCTCTTTGGGGGTCGTTCTTTTGCATTCCGCAGTGCTCGCTAGACGAGTGTAGCCAGCGTCAGTCAATCACTCTGGATTATTTAAGACTTCAGCTACGACTTTCAATCACAAGGCCTCCAGGTAACTATTTCCATCCTCAAAGCGTTTCATGTTTTAAAAAGAAAAAAAGCCATCTAAAATTTATATTGTACATTTCTACACCACTCCCAAAGGTGAAAACTCGCAACTTTGGGCCATGCCCAGAACACGATCGGCGACTAACCTCACTATCAGTGACCGAGTAGTCCATGCTTTAGACTAAGGGCACACAGTAGGGTCTAGTCCAGACATAAGTGACAGGAAACATTGCTAATTAGATTCTTCTTGGAGGTCGCTTCATGGAAGCCATAGAGGTTATTTTTTTTGGGTAATACTGGTTTTGTTGCTTCTGCTCAGTAAGCTCGGGAAACTCCCCCGATTCCAGATAGACTCGGCGTGCAGGGGGAAGCTGAGACGGAGGACAGGAGTTGCGTCTCTGATGGAAAAGGGTGAATCTACCCGGGTAAGTTCCAAGTACTCACAACTTCCTTCTTTTCCTTCCAAGGTGACACTTCCCCTGCCAGGCCCACGCATCCATTCTCTTTCCTGGGGGCGTGACAGGGGCGATAGCAATTCTGCCTCCAGGGGGCGCTGCGGGGCGTCGGGGTGCTGAGGCACAGGGGGCGGCGCTGTCCATTTCAGCACCCGGCGGTGGGGAGCCTGGTTCCGGCCTCTCCCGCCCTGGGCTCCGAGGACTGGAGGACGCACTCCCTCTCGGGCATGGCTAAGGCCAGAGAATCAACGCTGAGCAGTGTCCTTCCGGGACGTGGGTGGGGCCACACTCAGGTGAGAGTCTCACAGTGAAGATCTGGCTCCACATCCACCTGGTGGATCCGGGAGCCAAGGCCACCACCACCGCAGGGCTGTCGGGCGGCCACGCAGGCTGCGACTGCCTTTCCGAGGACAGCGCATAGAGCCGCAGCGCCCTGTGGTTCTCAGAAGCTACCGCCTGATCATTTCTAACTGTTAGTCTTCAGGCGAAGGAGACAGACCCACTCAGGACAATTGCAGTACGACTCAGAATCGCTTCACGAAGAGAGAACGTGGCCATATCCATAACTTTGTAAGAGATGCAGAAAATATTTTGATGGAGGCAGAAATTCCAGATTCATTATTATTGCGGTGGGCTACTCTTTACTGCGTACTTCCGGTGTGCCAGGAAGCGTGCCAGGTGCCGTAAAAACACATTTCCACATTTCATCATTATCCGACTGTTTGAGAAAGATTTCTTGCCAATGAGAAAAGTTCAGAAATGGGATGTGACTTTCCAGGTGGTTGTAATTCCCATTTTTAGTGTTCAGGTGTGTGGTGCTATTTCTAATCACCTAAATGACTATTTTCTTATTGGTCTACTATGTCATTTTTGAAACCCGACATGCGAACTGTTTGTGTCTGGAGCCCTTCCTGCGCCTTCCGTCTTCCACTGAGGTTCCCGCCGCTCCAAGGGGCGCTGCAAGGTGCGTTATAACCGCACTCTCCTTGTTAGGCCCTTCCAAGATGTCGTGATGACTTTGTTCCAATTTCCAACCTCTCTTCTCTGGTTTATTATGCATTTATATTTATCCTAGAGCCGGAACACTTTTAGAAGGGAGGGGGGTGGGTGAGAAGTGGGAATTTTAAGGAAACTGTAGGGAAGTGGAGGGATTCCCAGCCCCCCTAAATTCCCATCCTGGAGCTGACCACCCGCCGTCCCCAGGCCTGGTGGCGTGCCTCCTGAGTCACAGCTCCTTGTCTGGTCCAGATCCCTCTCCCATAGGTGAAACCATTTTAAACGAGACCTTCTGCACACGGAGAGGCTCAGCAGAAAGACGGACAGCCCGAGCCGGGACCCTGGCCCTCTCTCAGGTGGAACACAGAGGCCCCTGCGATGAGATGTCGCACAGCATGCTATAAAATACATGGCACTGTCCCTTTCCTCTGGCTTACAATCACTAAGCATCACCAATAGTCACTCGACGCTTGGTGACAGGGCCCGAGTCCGCTGCAGGCGCCGACTGAGAGGAGCAGAGCAGCCAGACAGCCCGGGGCTGGCCCGGCGTTGCCGTCCTGCTGTTGGCGCTGCCGTGAGCTGGCCCGGCAGGGCTTCGGTGTTCTCTTGCCGCACACACAGCATTGCACAAAACGTATCAGCAGACAAGGCCACGTTGGGACCAGGATGGATCAAGGCATGAGCAAGACCACCCCGGTCATGTTTCAGCACGAACAGAACATGGACATTTTCTGGGGCACAAAAGAGCCAACACTCCCCCACCCAGACTAATACCAGGGACAGGCAGTTCTCTGCCAGTTACAGCTTCAGCCTTGGTCTGGTCTTCCTCCATTAGATGAGATTTATTAAGACACCCAGTCATAGACTTAGCCCCACTTCCTGACAGTGCCCAATCCAGAGAGAAAGCTCTACTTCCTTAAACCTCCCCCAAATTGCCCAACCGAAGCCCAAATCCTACAGGTCCTCTCTAACACCCTCTCACTGCCATGCCCGTGTGGCCCCTGCCCGTGGTTCCTGGCGGTGTGCCTTGTCCTGTGCTGCAACGAGTAACAAACCCAACTTGTCAACCACAGCTGTGTGCGTGCTCCTGCTGGTCTTTGGCTGGGGGGTGTTGAGGCCATTAAGTATTAGTATAAAGTATTAGCCATTAGATTCACTGACAGTTTGTGCAAATCGTAGCTTGGCAGAAACCCTTTGACTAACGCTGGTCACTGTGTAAGCACAATGCTTCTGTTCGGATAGGCTGCGTTATTCCGTGGTTTCCACCATCTCCTCACAGTCAAAGATGGTAGAAGGGGAAAAAGGGAAGAAAAATAGTTTTCACCCTTAAAAACAAAGCGTGCCTGCCCTGACAGAGAAACGGGCAAGACATGCGGAGAGACTGTTCCTTAGAAGCAAACGCGGACGACGCGCTCAGGAAAAGATGCACAACCTTGCTGCGAATCGCGTGCTGAGACTACCCCGAGATGCCGTTTCTCATCCATTAGATCGGCCAAATCTAACAGCTCCACGGCACGCGCTGCCGGCAGGGCTTGAGGGAGACAGGTACCGTCACACGTTGCTGGTGGGGACGGGGCCTTATCGGGGGACTTGGCGGGAGCTGGCGGGGTTGCATGCGCGTCACCTCTCTGACCCATCAACCCTCGTGCAGGAGCCCGCCCCACGGTGACACTGCAGACACACAATGACGCACTCACAGGGCTACTTGCTAAATACCGCTCATGACTGCAAAGGCTGTTAGCAACTTAGATGCCCATCAATCGGGGGTGGCGTGGACTACACCACAGGCAGCGGAATACCGTGCAGTTGGGAAAGGAACAGAGAGCATCTGCCTGCGGCTATAACGTGGTCTACAGGATGCATCAGGTGACAAAACTAAGAGGCAGAACAGTAGTGCTGATATGCTGCCGTTTTGGAAAAGGGATGCACGTAAGGAGGTGACGTTCTTGCTGGGCTTGGTGAATGTGGACCTTCCTTCCTCCTTCCCCTGCTGAAGGACGCCCGGACGGTGCGGCCCTGCCCCGCTGTTGTCACTACCTCCTCCGACAGCTCCAGCCCTCCATCAACCACTCAGGGTAAATCTTATTAAGCATTTGGCCCCGGTCACCCAGGACAGTAAATCCAACGGCTTTCTTGTGTCGTTTCTTTGTATTTGTGTACGTCATTAGCATGAAACACATCATGTCGCAACAAAAAGATAATAGGTGATGCAATGGGCTGAATTTAAATTCAAGTAATATCACTGTTCATCTAAAAGCTAGCCCCTAAAAAGTCTGGAAAATTAATTTATTGAAAAAATTTCAGCGTCTTTCTACCGGAAAATCTCCTCCGAATACTAACGCCATAGATGTTGCAGCTCTTCTTTTCCTTTTCGATCAGCTCATACCTTCTTCCTTCACCTGTGTTGCGAGAGAAGTGGCCAAAAACCTCAACGCATGAGGTTTTAGAATATGTGCCCCCAAAACCCGGAAGAGCCGCAGGGACTTTTGGGGACAGGCAGACTTCCAGAGAGACGACGCCATGCACGCCGTGCGAGCTGGAGAAGCAGCACGAGCCTCTGTCGCCAAGCCTGGAGAGGGCGTGGGCCCAGAGGAGAGCCGCACGCGGGGATGGAGTGAGGACAAAAGTCACAGTCTCGCCCGGCTCGCTTAGCATTTTCACTGAAGCCGATCTCGCAGCCGGGAGCTGCTGTATCAAATCACCACAACTTGCCGTCTCAGGACTACAGAAATGTAGCCTCTCACAGTCCTGGAGGCCAGAAATCTGAAGTCAAATCAAGGCCACACCCTGCAGGGCCACTCCCTCCAGAGGCTCCGGGGAGAATCCTTCTGCCTCCTCTGGTGGCTCCAGGTGTCCCTCGGTTGTGGCCACGAAGCCCCAATCTCAGCCTCCAGCTCCACACAGCCTCCTCTTCTGTCTCTTGTGAGTTCCCTTGTCACTGGACCGAGGGTCCTCCTGAGTAACCCCGGGTGACCTCATCTCAAGATCGTTCACTAATCGCATCTACAAAGACTCTTGTTCCAAATAAGGTCACGTTCACAGGATCTGGGGGTCAAGATGTGGGCATGTGTTTGTGAGGGCCGCCATTTGGCTGGAAGGACCCACACACGGAAATTCACCTCCTCCGCCTCTCTCCAAATATGCTGAAGCAAGAGACTAAATATTTTATACAAATATTTTAAAATACACAGCCTCACTCAGAACAAGAGGGAACCCTTGCATGAGCCCAAAACAGTAAGCTGGGGTCAAAGCCACCCGGTTCTAGGGAATCCAGGAGTAAGTCGAGGCCAACACGACATACCCAAGCTGAAGGCCTCGAATGAAGTCCACACTTCCCACTGCCCAGAGCGACCAACATCGCTCCACCAGCCCGAAACCATGAACCAGCTCAAAAAGGAGACAGAGAGAGAGAGAGAGATGCCCGCAGGAGGAAACTCCATAAGGTACAAGTTCTCAAATGGAAGTCACAAACGGCACAAGGAAGTACAGCTGATGGAAGAAGCCAGCCCAGTGTGAAACAGACCAAAAGACTGGGAGCTTCTGCCACCAGGAGAAAACAGAATGACACCTTCCCAGTGCCAGGGGCAAATACCTGCGAGCTTAGCATGCCGTGTCTACCTAGTTTATTATCCAAGAGTAAAGGGGGAAACTAGGACATGTTCCGCTACGTGCAGACATGAATTACTGCTCATAGGAACCTTTGCTGAAAGAAATGCTAAAAGATATACCTCGAGAGGAAAAATTAACCCAGTGGGTGACAGAAATCAATAAAATGTTGGTAAATCCAAATAGGAACTTAGAATTATATGTCCCTATACTAAAAACCTTAGTGTCCATAACAATTTGCATCTAAAACTCCAGAAAAGAATGTGGGATTCAGGGATTGCATTTCAAAGGGCAGTTAAAGAGTGTTAGCCTTTGCATACATACACGAATGTGTATGTATGTCTTCCTGGAGAGGAAACCTGTAGCTTCCCATCAGACTCTCCAAGAGGCTCATGCCCCAGAAGAAAATTAAGAGTCACTGTCCTAGTGGCTCTCAGATCAGGAGCATCAGAGGGAAGGTCCTGACGTCTCAGAGCCGCCCCCACCCGGGAGATACACTGCTTTCTTCCCCACTTCTCTCCCGGTGCTCTGGGACCAGGGCCATGAAGCTGAGGCCGAGCTGGGCAGTCTGAGATGTCCCCGCCCTAATGTCCTGCACCTGCGACAAAGAAAATAATGATCTTTTCAACCCAGCCAATCTTAGTATGATCACAGCTTAGGCCCAAGTCCTAAAAGCAGCTAAAAATGAGAAAATTAGCCTGACACAAATTGTTTCGTCTAGCTCTTTTCATAAAGGTGCTATGATTTTTCTTTTTAACTGATATCATAGATGTTTTCGCCTGAAACAATTCTCAGCTTTGGTGTCCTGTGGCCACAACCTGCGCATCCCAATTATGATAAAACTAAAGTAGGTAAAAAGAGAAGGAGAGGCCCCTTTGCGGAACACACACTGACTGCTGCAGGGAATGTGCTAACTACTGTGAACCAAATCAAAAAATATTAAAACTGCCAACACTCAACCACTTCATACCCTGGAGCTAACTTTTTCCAGCAAGAAAGCAACTAATAAGTAAGTTTAAACTATGCAAATTACCAGTTTATTTGTCATCAAAATGATTGGTTTTTTAATGGAACTATGGCACACAAAAGTTTGACAGTGCAGATGATTGTTCCGTGAGCATTCTCTTCCGTCCTCCTCCCGCTCAAGGAGAATGTGTTCTTCGAGGTGGGCTCGGCCGTGAACCTAGCTTTGCCCCGTGAACTTAGCGGGCGTGAAACAGCAGCGGCCTGGCGCGTGCTGTGTGCTGTGGCTGGCACCTTGTGATCCCCTCCTCCTCCGTGACAAGAGCAAGACCCTAGTGGCCGCTGCCTTCAGCTGCGCAGCCCCGCCCAGCCCACGTCAGCCCACACTGGGTGACCTGAGGGCCAGAGGGTGTGACAACAAACACTTGCTGCTGTAAACAACTCAGTTTGGAGAGGCTTCTTATTTCTCTTTATTTCACCTGGGTGTGTCTTTGTCCTTTTTGTGTTGCTAGAAAGGAATATCTGAGGCTGGGAAATTTATGAAGAAAGAAAGTTGATTTGGCTCAGTGCTAAGGGATTATGGGAAACACTAAGGGATTGTGGGAAACATTAACGGATTGTGGGAGTACTAAGGGATTGTGGGACTCCTGAGGGATTGTGGGAAACACTAAGGGATTGTGGGAATGCTAAGGGATTGTGGGAAACATTAACGGATTGTGGAGACTAAGGTGTGTGACTGCTGAGGGATTGTGAGAACACTAGGGATTTGGGAATGCTAAGGGATTGTGGGAAACATTAACGGATGTGGGGTACTAAGGATTGTGGGACTGCTGAGGGATTGTGAGAAACACTAAGGATTGTGGGAATGCTAAGGGATTGTGGGAAACATTAACGGATTGTGGGAGTACTAAGGGATTGTGGGACTGCTGAGGGATTGTGGGAAACACTAAGGGATTGTGGGAATGCTAAGGGATTGTGGGAAACATTAACGGATTGTGGGAGTACTAAGGGATTGTGGGACTGCTGAGGGATTGTGAGAAACACTAAGGGATTATGGGAACACTAAAGTAGTTTTCAAAGGCCAAGACCCACATCAGGGTTTTAGGGGCCTCACTAAACACCACGTGTCTGGGGACTCTAAGATGATGGTTCAATGCGAAGCCACCTTTTCAGACTCCAGCAGGTGTTTGTGTGGCATGGAGCATATGGTTACAGTCACAGGCATTAGAGGCCGACCCACTCTGATTGGAGTATCAGCAAATTGGTTAAACCTTCTACATCTGAGCTTTCTCAACTGTAAAATGAAGAGAACAAGTGCTGGCAGTTTATGGGCTTGTTACAAGGATCAGATTAATGAACATAGATCAGTGTGGTTCTCGAAGTGTGGTCCCTGGGTCAACAGCATCAGCATGACCCGGGAACTGGTTTCAAACATGAATCCTCAGGCTCTGCCCAGGACCTGTTGAATCAGAAACTCCGGGGTGTGGACCCAGCAGGCTGTGTTTCAACAACCCCTCCAGGTGACTCTGACGCAGCTAAACTCTGGACATCGGCGTATGTGGAGCCCTGGCTCCACCAGTGGTCAGCGCTCAGCTCACTATAGCGGGGAGGTGTGTGTCCTCTGTCGGAACAGTGTTTATCATATTTGTTACTATTCAATACGATTGTCTGTGTTATGATGGTGATGATGACGAGTACTGTTCTCACACAGCAGCTACCTGGGCCGGCACTGAGTGAAGCGGAAGCCAGGACAGGGCTCCTGCATTCGGTTCAGCTGCTCCTGGTGCATTCCGCAGAGCGGCTGCTTGCCAACCACCCACCGGGTTGTGCACGAGACTCGCCTCCGGTGAGCGCCGAGCTGTGTGCGTCTCCCAGCTGCAGAGTTAGCATCAGTCTCATCCTACAACTTGGACACACTTTTTCCGAGCGAAGACAGAAATGCACTTTCCTGTTAGTTCACCTGATGCACGTATGCCACCCCTTTCCTCTCAGCTTTCCCTGCCCCAGCCCCTCCCCACCTTAGGAAGAATATTTTATGGATAGTTCCGTATATTTAAAGTCCTCTTTCCCAAAGCAAGCAAGACTTTAGCACAGGACGTCCTCCTTGGGCCCCCAAACCAGACAGCTGCAAAAGGGGGCCGGACAGGTTTTCTGACCTCACCTGTGAGCTGGGATGTCAGGATTCATCATTAGCTCCGAGCATCTGCACCTGCCCACCCTTTAATCTACACACTGAAGAAAAACAGCCTTCATTCTGTTTGATGTTTTAAACATTTTTTGTGGAAGTGCAAAAAATTTGCTCTGCCCCATAGTCACTCCTGCCTGCGAGGCTGGCGGGTGCACCCGGCAGCGGGGAGGCGCCAGGGTGGGCCCTCTGTGCCCCATACCCATGCTGCTTGGCAAGGCCTGCCCGTCACCGACGCTGCGGCGGAACAGATAACAAGCAGCAACGTTGCAGAAAGTGGAAGCGAGGTTTTGCAGGGAGGGTTGTTTATGTCCTTTCATTCTTGCATGACATTCTGTTTATTAAAGATTTTCAAAGCACAATGCATGAGACGCAGCAAGAGAAGCCGCTGTCGTGCTTGGCTGCCTTCCCCCCGTAGAGTGCCCTTAGGGCGGAAGTGCAAGCTGGGCAGCACCCACGGCCCACCCACACCCGAGGTCCTCCTGCGCCCACAGTCCACTCGCAGCGTGGTCTGCCCGCTCCTGTGGTCCTCTCCATCCTGGGCCGCCAGCTCTGCCCACAAGCCCGGGTGCGCAGGTTTGGGTGCGGGAGGTGAGGGCCACTTACGCTTCCCAGAAACCGATTCAATTGTCAGTAAATTTCGTTTTTACTAAATGCATACACAATTTGCAAATCTGAAGTCAGAAGCTATATGCAAAAGTATTTTTTTGCTTTTGTTATAAGAAATAACAGGAAACTGATTATAAATATTCAAGCCAGCTATATTCTCTCCTCGTGATTGTTTAAAGCTGTGGTTCCCAACCCCTGTGCCTGGGACTGGGCTGCAGAGCCCCACCCACCCCCCATCAGGCCCTGGAGAAATTGTCTTCATGAAACCAGTCCCTGGTGCAAAAAAGGTTGGGGACCGCTGGTTTAAAGCATCAGCAGGTCACAGGCAGGGCAGAGTTCCCAGGACACCTAAAGCAGGCTAGGGGATGAGGAGGGGGAAAGATCAAAAGAGAGCCAGTCCTCCCTTTGGTCTGCATCCTGCAGCATGCGGTGATACATCCTGGAGAAGTGGTCACTTTGGAGTACAAGCTCTTCTTCTGGCGCCCTTAACCCCCGTTAACGTTCCAGGTGGCCACACCTTCAGAGGGAGGGGTGCAGAGGCCCGCCGCAATTGCCGTTCAAAGGGAGGCTGTGTGAGAATCAGACAAAGACGTCCCTGTGGAAACAGACCCGGGGGAACCCTACAGTGTTTTCATCCTGACGAGCACACCCCGGCTAAGACGGCTCCGGTGGGCGTTTATACAGGGCTGAACCATGGCGGGGATTCGGCCTGAGTACGTGTGCTGACCACCCACCCCTCCAGCAGCCGTCCTCCCTGCCCCATGAAGGCACCAAAGGAATAGAAGCGAACGAGTGCTGAGCTAGGTACAAAGGAAGCACAGTTCCTTTGACTGAGTCCTAAAATTAAGACTGTGGAATTTGTCCTTTTTCCTTTAATCTGATGTGCTTTTTTTAAAAAAAATATGCAGCCCACACTATGCATGATCAAGAGATCACCAAAGGGGCTTACCTAATGTTAATATCAAGAGGGAAAAATACATGTCTCCCTCCTGGTAATTAAATCGCAGAGGCATTTATATGAGCCACACAATTAAAAAGGGAAAGGAGATGGAATCCGAGAGTAACCTATAAAGATGATTAAGCTTGTTAAAATCAGAGCCATTAATGGAGTAAACAGTGCTGGCACTAAGCACAAATTGACAATATCTTTCTCAGATTCAGATATTTGCTAGAATGATAATTCCACTATTGATTATATTTAATTATTAAAATCTTCCCCCCAAATGAAATGCAAACTAGTTTTCTGGATGGCAGACTCTTATTAACTAATGCAGCTAAATGATTTTAGTGACTATCGTGCATGAAAATAGAAAAATTATTTGGCCTTTCATATTCAAACAATACAAATGAGACAAAAGTGACAAAAAAAGGTGATTTAAACCAACATGTGAAAATATAAGCTGTAGTTTCAAAGTGATGCTGTCCTGTGATTGAAGCTCCAAGTGGCAGCTTCTGAATCTGAACCGGCCAACAGACATGGAGGGCGGCCAGGGTCTTCCCTGCTTTGCAGTGTGCCCGCTTCCTCAGGCTCTTGCCTTGGCTGGAAGAATATAATGAGCAATAAGGATTAACAATGTGTCCTCTCCTAGGGAAATTTGCATTTTAATGAAAGACAAAACTTGATGCCACAGGAATGTAGCACCGTACATGAGAACTTGGGGAACTAGGAAACCAAGGTGCTAGAGCAAATTGGGGTTGAGGTGGAACCACCCAGAATCTCCGCCTCCCTGGTCCCACCCCGTGGGCCATTGCCTTCCCTGATGTAGGTCAGGGAAAACCTCATTTTTTTACCTACAGGTTCAACTCACACAAAAACATTTCGCCTGTGTGGATGTTGATGCAATGTAACAGTAAAATGACAGTGATATGAACAAACAGGAGACTTGAGACCTGGATTTAAAAAGAAAAAAAAAAAACTATTATGATTCTATTATTCCATGATATATCAAACAAATGCACTTTAAAGCTTAACAGGACATACTTGGGTCTAGAACAGTCTCAGAGCAACTGTGCAGGCTATCTAAAACTACGTTTTTAAATATTCGAGGAAATCTCTATAAATCACTTTCATCAAATATACGCATTAGTGATTCCCGCAAAACCCACCAGTCACTGAGACCTCATGACAAGATGCCTGTTTCTCAGTATTTTACTCAATTAACTTCATAAGCTTACATTTGGCTTCACAGCAACAGCAGTAATGAAATGAGAGCTTGTGCCTGATACCAACTGGCTGCTGCCTGCCCAGACATCGCGGTTTTGCATTAACCCTTTTCAGAGGCGGGTCACTCTTCAAACACTAACGCAAAATCCCCATTAACGTTACGGCTTTAAGTAATGCTGCGGGGAGTGCTGGGGCCCTGGTCAGCCCCTCAGCAGACCCAGGCCCTGCAAGAGGAAATGAGCTACTGGCCAGTATACACAGCAGAATTAGTGAGAGGCAGGCCTCTGGCTCCTACTGAAATGGGAAACAAAGCTACAAATCTACCACTGGGCTGCCCGTGACCCATAGAGTGACGGCAGAGGCCAAGGCGTCGAAGCTCACTGCAGGCCACACCTGTGTGCCCACCTGCCCAGCCCCCTTAATCCATAATGTGAAATCTGCAGCACCTGTCAACATGACGCCGCTCCACTGAAACACGGCTCTTGCAAAAGGCCGTGCACCAGGACAAGGCACATGGGACACAGGCAAAACTGTGCACAGGGGGTCCCAGGTGGCTAAGCGGCACCTCCAGGCAGAATGTGTCACTCCTGCCGCAGCCTGCTCTCTTAGCAGCAGGGATTCCATGCAGTTCGCCCACCCATCACCGCACCAGAGGATTAGACGATGAACTGACACTTTTAAGTAGCCTTTGCTCCACCCTTGATTAGAAACTAGCTTTAATTAAAACACCACATCAGAATTCTGAGCCAATCTCATACTGGCTCTCCTAAGTGCTTTGTACAAAACATTAACTCTGGAATCTCATTACACATTTGCAACCCCTGTGACAAACATAAATGATAATTTAGCTCTAAATGCTTTCTTGAGCAAGCCATATTTTTAAAGGCTCATGGATAATAGTAACTCACTGAGGGAAATGTGTGTTGCATTTATCATCTCTTTACTTTTTAAGCAAAGAGCTAGAGCTGGTGTTGCAAGGGGCAGAGCAAATGGTGACAGAGCGCACATCTGACAGCTCTGCGTGCTCACCCAAAAGCTGGCAGTCCTGACTGGGTGCTGCTCCCAGCGAGTCCAAGCCCTTAGGTGCCGAGGGACGGGGTAGGCAGTGCTGGCTTTGGCTTTGGCAAGCCGAAGGAGCTCTGAACTCTGTAGCTCATTTGCACATGGGGGCAACCTCAAGTGCTTTGCGTTAAATGTTAGGGAAGAGCCTCACTGGGGAGGAAACGAATTTCTTGGGACTGCGGGTGTGATGGACAAGTACTAGAAGGCTTGTGGCCACAAGGTCCAAATCTCCCCCATCTCTCCCGCACAGCTCCCGAGTGACCACACTTCCCGGCCGTGTCTGCTGCGGTGCTGTCCTGCCCACAGCCTCGTGCCCACAGCCTTGTGCCCAGCTCTTGGCCCCGCTCTCCGACTTTGGGTGACTGGGCCAAGGGGACACCTTGACTTGAGCCGAGAGCCTCTCGTCCTTGCGCCTGTTGGTAGTCTGGGAAGTGTCCTGGGCACAAAAAGCTCTTCTCACGAAGGGGCTGTGCGAACCGGGCACTGAGAACAGAGAGTGGCGATCGGGAGATACAGAAGCAGACGGCGACAGAGGGGCTGATGCCGCAGGACGCGTGCAGGCAGGGAGCGCAGAACCAGCCCTGAGGGTCCTCGAGCCAGCGGAGGCCGAGAGAAACCCAGACAGGTGGCTGGGGACGGGGCAGGAGGAGAGCCTGGGAGAGCCACCACGCCTTGTGGACGGGGAGGACCAGCGAGGAGACGCCCGGGTCCCCGGGCTCTTCCCTGTGCGGGTCCCAGGAGACATGGCATACGTGGTTCCTTTGTGGGGGGTTCATGAGATTTCAGCGTCCTTGTTCCAAGACTAGCCTCATAATTTCTTAACTCCACCCGGAACTGGCCTTGCCACAAACGGCAAATCTAATAGTCTAGAAACACCGTGGGTCAGCGAGGACATCCTGGATCATTCCGAACACGGTTCACGGCTATCGTGAAGCAGCCTCCCCTCCCCCACTGCATTCCACTCTCATCTAGATCTCTGTCCTGTCTGCGTGGATGCAGCCATTTCAGAAAACGCTTCTTCAGCGTGTGGCCCCAGCCCTAAGCGGGTCCTGTCACCCCTCCCCTGGGCCTTGGATTCACTGCCCAGCATGATGATGGCGGGCAAGTCGAGCTCCATAGGAAAAGGAGAAAAATAAAGACTCTTACTTCTCTGTGTTATTTGGAAAGTCAAACAGGCATAGCAGTCGGAAGGTGGCTGGTGAATCGTGAAGTGCTGCACGGTGTAAGAGCTTTTTAAATGACTGCGACCAGCTGGCTGGTTCCCATTGGCTACACCCACCTCTGACACTCAAAGCCCAGATTTCCAAAATTCCAGAAAGAAAGAAAGGTACTATATCAATAACATAAGAGTAAAGCACACTACAAGTGAATAAGCCATATTTTCAGGAATGAAATATGGACCTTGTCATATTCTAAGTAACCCATGTAAGATACCTACCTGCCTGTCATCTGGGCCATACTTTGAGATCTCTTGTTTTATGGCACAAAATAGTGTTGTTCCACTCCTTCCCAGGGCTTGAGAGAAGTTGGGCGTTGATGATAAGCATCCCACAAACATTCATTAAGTGAATAGTTAAGCTTCAGCAGATGCACAAAATATGAAAAACACTATTACAGCACCGTCAGAAACACACCAGTAGATTATTCTCAATAATGATCTTTTCAAGGGCCAAATCAGGCACTATATACATTTCTGCTTATTTTAAGTAGGCAAAAGGAATGTAAAATATCATCGATTGGCATCTACTGGATAAAATTAAAAGCACTTGTCTGAACAAGAGGATATTCTCCCTTCTGCCCCATTCCAAAATGTGTTTGTCTGTGTCTAGTGGGGACGGGGGGGTGTGGGGGGAGCTGGCTGCAGGGAAGGAGGAGGCCGAGCCCCAGAAACTCTCCCTTTCTTCAGGGTCACGTGCCGTGGGCTCCAATGCGCTGGCGGAGCTGCGGTGAGTAAGAAGACACGGTCCTCCTCAGTGAGTGCCTCCATTCGCCTCCACGCCCAGGGGCAGGAGCCTCCCTGCTCCGTGTTGAGAGCGGTGGTGGGGCCTGGTGTCCAAGAGCTCATTAAAAATAATGTTCGCTTAAAAATCAGCATTTTAATCCCCTTCGCTGTATAAAACGACGCTTCCTTTTAACAAGCGGTCATCTATGCCGCTCTGAGCGCCACTATTGGTCCAGGATGAACTTTTTCCCCAGTCCCCAGAGAAATCAGGCACATAAAGACAATATAGCAAATTTTCATAAAGCTTAATTTATTCCATTTAAAGGATTGTTCTTTATTCCGAAACTGTATCTTTAAAGTCTCAAATTTCCCTCTACTGGATGACATGATGCTGATATTAGACAATGGTGTTTTTAAAATGTCATTTGAAAAATTAAAAGTTGGCAAAACAACAGCAACAACGTGTATGTGTGTGTTGGTAGGGGTGGAATGTTACTGGCCCACGGCATCCAAAACATTCCGGGAGCGTTTTCTCTAGAAAACCTTCCAAGAACCTCCCCTTGTGCCCTGCCCCTTCTTTGCTCCCATCCTATTTGGGCATATCTCTTCCATTGCTTTAGATGCTGTGCTTGTCCACTCTTCCTGCCCTGCCCTTCCTTGAGTTTCTGGAAGGCAGAGACTAGTTTCTGTTCGATCCCATCCCCAGCAGCTAGAACAGCAGCAGGGTGCCACACTCCACAATATGCTACAGGTCAAATATTTGAAAATAACATGAGAAAGCTGATTTCTAATAATTTCTAAAATTTTACCTGAATATGTGGGTAATTTATGCAATATTTTTAGCAAAAACTAAAATTCCTTTCTTGCTCCCTGTTGATGAAAGCTTAGCTCCTAAATGTACCAGATCTTTTTAAACTTTTTTTTTTTTTTTTAACTTTCACATGACAATTTCTCACATTCAAATGTTGGAAATGGTTTAGGCTCCAAACCAAATTGAAGTCTCACCTACAAGTATTCGAATTTAGTAATTGCCACCTTTTGAATAATAATAAAAAGGATGTTGTTATTTGGAAGAGATATACATTATGCTTAGAAAAAGTGCTAACCTTTCAAATCTTCCTAGTTTTTTGATTCACTAGTTTTCTAACTAGATCAGTGCTAAATTTCTTTTTTCACTTTATCCTCTTTTCAATGGGTTTAATTAAGAGCATTTGAAAGACGATACGAACTTCCAAGTTCAGAGTAAGGACTGTTCGCAGCATCATTAATTCTCATATAACCTTCTTCATCAGAAGTATCAGAGAAAAAAAGGAAATGTATAGACCTGCATTCTGTACATTATTAGCAGCCAGTATTAAATGCAGGGCAGGCTTAGTATTCCATAGTCAATTTTCCGCATTGCACCACTTTGATTTCCACTCTTGTGACATCACTTCCTCTCCCCAGTAGCCGTTGGTTCACATATAGCCCATTGGTGGCTTTAATTTAACATCTTTCAGCAGCTTGCAAATTTATATTTCTGAAAACATTCCTTGATTTTGATCTATCCCTTTTCTACTTCTTATTTTCCAACAATAAAACAACCTGGTAGTCAAAAATCTTGTAAGTCGTATCATCCCAGTGGTTATTTGGTGCTTGTGTTGTGCTGTGGTATTCTTGCACAAAAGATTGCTTGGAATAAAACCATTACCGATTGGAATTTGGGAATGTTTTAATCAATTAAAGATATGATGATGATGGTATTTGCCATATGAAAAATGGTTGGTAAAACACCACTTGGGAATGTCTAACTCGTTGAGGGACTTAACAGGCTAGAGAAAGACTTAGTGGTTCTAGCTCCAAAGAGCAGCTCTAGCGCCCGTGGAAGGAAGATTCAGAGAGACAGAATTCAGTGAACATAAAGAAATTTCGATTTATAATTAGGATTGAAAAAAATGTGTTGATTGATGAAGAAGTCCACGCTATATCATTACAAGAGTTTAAGAGCAAAGGTGTGGGTTGCACGCAGTCTTGACACCTGGACACCCCCACACTGGATGAGGGCTTGGGTTGGAGGTGACCCTTTAGTTCCTTCACACATAAATGCCGCCTTCTGTATACTGCCGAGGGCCACAGGCTGCCCCGTGTGTGTGTCTGGGACTCCTACCATAAATCTTTATGCACTCCCTAAAATTAGCTGAATGGATTGGATCAAGAAAAGCTTGAAAAAAATGGAGAGTGTTGATTTCATCAGGATAATAAGAGCTTAGCACCAGTAATTACTTCTTTGGTCCCCTACCCAGACTGGACAGTTACAAGCATGCAGGCACATACACACACACACATATACACACTCTTCCACCAGTTCTGTTTAGGATTCCAAATAAAATTGGTAAACAAGGAATAAAATTAGACCCCTGGAGCAACACCTGGAGCCTCAACCTAAACAAGCCCCGGAGCACCCTCTCCCCAGAGCACCCTCTCCCCCGAACACCCTCTCCCCCGAACACCCTCTCTCCGAGCACCCTCACCCCAGAGCTCCGTTCTGAGCCTTCACCTCCTGCTTCCCGCCACCTGCTCCTCTCTGCACCCCGAGCACTGTCCAGGTGAGGCCGGCTCTGGAATCACCCACCCCGCTGCCCACCCAGGCTGCTCCCACCGTCCTCCCCAGCTCACCTGTCTGCTGCCGTCCTCCTCCTGTTTCCCTCCCACGGGGCCACTGGAGCCCCGTTTCCACCGCAGGCAGCTTTCTCCGTCAGGGCTGCAAACAGGCTGACGACGGGGCGTGGGGGGCTCCTCCCCATGACGCCCGCGCCCTGTGGGGGAGCCCGGTGGGCGCAGAACCCAGGGGAGCGCGCCTGGCACCTGCGCCGTCTGTGATGCTCGCGGGCCGGGCGGAGTTAGCGCCCCGACGGCCTCCGTGAGAACAGCTCCAGTCTCAAGTGTGCGAGAACGACAAAAGAAAGAATGGAAATTTGTATTCTTAAAACTCTTTATGAATTAAGTAAGGAAGAAAAAGCTCACATAGTAATCTTGCTCTTGGTCCCAGAAAATTTGAATTTCAAGAAAAGAGGATAAAAATAGGCGTTATGTATCTAATTTCAGCGCATTTCTCTCCAAGGGATCCTCCCTCTAAGAATTTTATTTTAGGTGCTGCTTTTTCTCAATCCCGTCTTGCAGAGACGCTGGCTTTCTAAGGACGTCCCAGCACCGATCAACAGGCAGGTGTCGGCCGCCCTGCTGTCAGGCAGAGACTGTTCGGTGAACGCTGGGTTAGAAAGAAAAAAAAAATAGTTGTTGAGTCTATAATGAAGAGAGAGTAGCAGGTTTCTGTTCTAGAAAGGCAGCACCTTGGGAACTTTTTAAATCTGAAAATCCCGGTCCGTGCCTTTACCCTGCTTTTCTGTTCCCAACAAGGGAACGGAAACTCGGACTACGAGAGAAGGAATCTCATTTGGAAACGCTTTCTTGAGAAATGCCCTTTCCTGCCCAGAGGCATGCATGGGTATATGCTAGCGTGCATCATTCCTCCAAAGAATCTGCTTCTTTCCACTTCCTCCTCCTCCTCTTCCTCTCCTTCCTTCTTTATAATTTTTTTTTCCAGATATTTTCTTCTCTTTAAAAATCGCTTGTTTCCACAGACAGACGTAAACAATTTTACATAACGTACAAATGTTTGTTTTTACTTTTTTTCTTTTCTTGGTTTCCCCTTTTCCTTGCTCTCTTCCCCTGTCTGTGGAGACAGAATAATGTCGCCCGAGAAAGGCCCACCCCGGGATCCCGGGAATCAGGATTGCTCCCTCGCGTGGCGAAAGGGACTCTGCAGATGTGATTCAACTAAGGACTTGGGGGGTGGAGAGAGAACCCTGGATTATTCAGGTGGGCTCAAGCCATCACCGGGGTCTTCGCGAGAGGGAGGGAGGGCAGAGTAAGATGGAGAATGTGGCGGCGGGAGCGAGGGCAGAGGGGAGAGGGCGCCCGGCGGCGGACAGGCCGCGCTCAGGCAGGCGGCGGGCGCCTCGACGCGCCGGAAGTCCGCAAGGACCCGGATTCTCCCTCAGACCCCGACGAGGGACGAGCCCTGCACATTCCCTTTTAGACTTCTGGGACTAAGAGCATGTACTTCTGTCACTTTAAGGCACTTTGCGGTAACTTGTTCCGGCAACCATGAGAAACGAGTACATCCTCTCAGGAGCCACGAGTCTCCGCCCCCGGGAGACCACGCGCACGCGCGGTGAGGGTCGCACCGGCTGTCGCCTCTAAAAACAGCCATGATGGCTCAATCCAGGTGGAAGCACGTCCCTTGTTCAGTTAGCCATTCGGGGCAGGTAATAGGTGGGCAGCTGACCCCTCTTCCACACGGTTATTCAGGGACCCAAGGATGGAGGCCCCACCGTCTCCTGGATGTGGTTTCTAGGGCCACGGCCACCGTCACCGTCCCAGCCACGCGGCAAGGGCGGAAGTCCAAGGACACGGGGTGGAAATTGTGCACATCCCTTTCCCTCGCATTCCCCCGGAGAGGCTACTCAGGTGAACACAAGGCTGCTGAGTGTGGCCAGGCGCACAGGGGGAGGCTCAGAAATGCTGTCCCCGCCTGGACTTCCATGTCCTAGCCAGCAGTCATGTGTGTGTGCCCCTCTGTCCCCGTGTAGGTGGCCCTGACTGCCCTTCCCAAAGGAGACAGCCCAAAGTCTCACTCAGGTACTGCATCCAGCCCAGCGTAGGGGACACCTGAGCAACACACAGCCCTTCTTTTCAGGAGCGGTCGTGGATCCTTGCAGTCTGGTGATCTGCAAACTAGAAGGTAATGACCAGGCCTCCCGCGTGCACACCTAACGTATAATGCTGGAGCAGGCACAGGGTGACTCCAGTGACAATTCTCACTCAGAAAGGGAGAAATGACAAGCCAACGGCTATCACAGGTGCACAGCAACCGTGGGTCACGCTGGGCAGGTATTTGGAGAACAATCGTCTTGGAGGAACGTTCCCATTCCTTTATGAGACTGCAGTTTTGCTCTCTTGGAGGGACTCCTTGGTCCACTGTCCCCTCCGGATCCTGGCTTCTGTCCCGGGCAGTGTGCCTTCCTGGGAGGCCACAGTGCCTGCTCGGTCCATGGGAAGCTAGCGTGAGTTTGGAATGTCAGGTGTTGTCCTACGGCCCAGGTCAGCACAGGTCCCTTCACATCCAGCTCGCCTCTGGCCAGGCCTGAGTTCCTTTGAGAATAAAAATTCTCTCAGAATCTCCAGAGGCTTCTGGTACATTCGCTTTCAGTCTGTTGCGTGTGCTGATAACTGCGCTCAAAATTTCACCCAGGTGTAGTCCTTCAGCTGGTGTCCGTTCCCTGTTCTCGCCTTGCTGGCTCAACACCTGCCCTTCTCCCAACTTAATGACAGCTGGGCGAAGGCCATCCGAAATAACAGGCAACGCCTTCCATCTTTAGAATAAACTTTCTCCAGGGGTGCCCCCCATGCTCCCCCCTTTTGTTTTAGTGGGAAGCGATTGAAAAAGATTTGAGCAATGAGCAACGACAATCTTCTTTGGGCCTCCCACCCAGCCCAGCCCCAGATCCCTGCTGTCTCTCTGCTCCACTCCACCTGTTCTTAGGAGCCAGGACATTCTTTCCTGAGATCCCCCTGTTTCCTTTCTTACCTTGCTTAAAGCAGCAAGGAGTAGACAACACACACCAAAATTCTGGTGCTTGCCAGTTGCTTTTCCTGGAACTACAGGCTGGGGAGGCAGGCGGTCCACCTTCCCAGTTCCCATGGGAATAGCTTACGGATGTTTTGAGGTAGCATAACAAGTCACCAGGTGTCTAGTGAGCTAGTTCCCTGAATTATCAGTTGAAGGAGAGCACTTAGCCTTGAACCGGTACCTTGGACACTTCTGCCAACAAGAAATAAACTTCTACCTAATTTGAGCCATTAGATTTCTTGGTCTCTTTTTTTATAGCAGCTTGTGTGACCTAACTAATACAGAAATTATGATCTCAAAGTGGTGTAAAAAACTAAAATATATGTGGCATGGGTTTAATAGTCAGATTCGGATGACAAAGAATCCAGTGTAGCAAGCTGAGTTGTGGGAACCAGACTTATTATAATTTTTATTTTTCTCTGTGTTCATATAATCATGTTCAAAGATATTTATGATATGCACACACCTATGAACATGTAAGGAAGGGTTTGGGTATCATTAATTTTGTAAAAGGGAGATTATAGAGAGTTTTGTGAATCTTGCTTGTCACATTCAACAATACCAGCAAGTCACCTGTTACAATTCGAATTCATTCTTGTAACTGCTACCAAATATTCCAAGTGGCTCTACCAAAATTTATTCAATCATTTTCCTGATTCTGAGTATTCATTTGATTTTGCCATTAGGAAAAATGTTGTGATACGTATCCTTGCATAAATAGTCTTACAAATAGATGCTTCTCTTTCCATGGGACTAATTCTTAGGGGTGAAACTGCTGGGTTGAGTGGCCCTATTCATACATCCTCACCAGCAGTCTCTCTCTCTCGCTCGCTCGCTCGCTCTCTCTCTCATGCTCTCTCTCTCTCTCTCTCACTCTCTCTCTCTCAACAACTCTTTGATGGTTGGGAGAAAAATATCATGGGACTAGGCTGCCACCATACTCTGGCTTTCTTTTGCATTTGATCATCTTTTCATACTTTTGTTGTCCTTTTGTATTTGCTCTTTCACGTATTGGCTCTGTAAATCTCTTGCTTGCCTTTTTATTGGGTTGTTTATACCCTTCTTACTAATTAGTAAGAATTCTCTGTACATTATAGAGATGAAACCCCTCCTCAACAATGTGTATATTTTTGTTATTTTTAATTGTGCTTATATTTTCTTTTCCCATACAAAAGTTTCTAATTTCCATACATTCACATAAATCTATTATTGTATTGTTTCAAGGTTGCCAGAGAGGAATATTTCTGTAATTGCATTTTTTTTCTTTCTGGAAGGGTTTTATTGTCCTTTCTATTTTTTAAGTTGAATTTTTAATTAACCTAGAATTTTTGTATATGTGATGTCAGGTCTTGTATATTTTATTTAACTCTATTTTCTTATGAATAGATGGCTGGCTATGCCAGAACATTTATATTAAATAATCCACTCTGCCCACTAAACTGAAATACTACTTTGTCACACATTAAATTCTCATGTATTTGAGATCTATTTCTGGACACTCTCTCTGTTCTGCTGATAAAGCCTCTGTCCTTCTGCAGTTCTCAATGTGATTTGAGGACAGTGGCTTTCTCATCTTGCTAGTTGTTGGGTCAAATCCTCCCATGCTACTCTTCTCAGGCACAAATCTCTTCTATATGGACATTAGGTTATTTTTTACTCAGTTAAAAAGTCTTTAAGAAAGTTTTCTTGAACTATAAGTTAAAATACCTGTTCTATTTCATTGTTTTCTTTCTTTGGGGATGTCAATTATACAGATGTTGGATTTCTTTTTGTTTGTATTTAGTCCATCATTTTTTTTCTCCAATCTTTTTAATCTATTTTCCCCCATTTTCTTGACGTTTCCTGTTTCTATCTATTGTCTCTTACTCTTATTTCTATGATGATACTCTTACTTCTAGTCTCTCTTATGCACTCTCAATATGAAATGATTTTGCATTTTTCTTTAAAATTTTTTTGTGGAGTTCCAGTCATCTCGTCCCTGAATTTTTAAAAATAATTTCTTGTGGTGTCCTTTCAGAGTTGCAATTGTTGCAATTTGCAGGGTTGTTTTTCTTCTGAAATTTGTTTTGGAAGGTTATATGTCAGTTATCCTCTGCTTTGTGAACTCTTTGCTTTTTTGTTGTTGATTTTTTGCACCTTCTGCTAAGAAGCTTTAATTTTCTATCTTCTTTTCATAGTATCTAGGAACATAGAATGTTCACTTTTAAAAAATCATATTTGTGTGAGTTGGATTTTACTGGGTCAGCTCTTAGTGGAACTCAAATTAGCAACAGGGTTTATTCTTTTGGCATTTCAGTTAAAGAGTTAACTTTATCTATTGCCAAAATGATAAGAAATTTCTTTAATTTGGAGCCCTTTGGTTCCATATACTTTGTGTACTTTTTTCTTCTCTCTCCCCTGCTATTCATCCTGTGTCCTGTTCATTCTCAGACTTGCCTATGGAATTTTCATTCACATTGGAGCCCTCTTCTTCTAGGATGTATATTGGCTGTTGTGTTCTTGGTTGTGTTTGCACTAATCTGGGAACACCTGCTTCCTTCCTGTCACACTATAGTGGTTACCTGTATTGATTATACTGATTTCTGGTGTTTTCCCCCCAAAACTTACTGATGTTATGGCGTTTGCATATTTCCTCTATCTTCTTGTTTTACTGAAAGCTGTACACTGTTAGTGTTTTCATACACTTTTTTGTTTCCTTATATGGTTTTAGGAAGAGAAACATGAAGATGTGGCTGCTGCCACAGTCCTACCAGAACCCAGCTCAGTCATTTATCCTCTCTTGTTTTATAATATAAACATCTGAGGCTATGATGTACACTCTATTTACTGCTTTAGCTACTTCATACACACTTTGGTATACAGTACTTCTGTTATCATTCAGTTTAATATATGTTTAATTTTCATTATTATTCCTTATTTGACTCATGACCTCAGTATTGTGTTTCTCAGTTTCCCAACATATGAAGAATTTCTAATTATATTTTTGTTAATGACTTCTACCTTAATTTTATTGTGGTCAAAGAACATAAAGTATTTCAGTCCTCTTAAAGGCTTGCTTTGACATGGTATAAAGTTAACAATGTGTATCGAACAGTTGATGAGTAATGTTCTAAATAGGTATAACAGGTCAATATTTTTAATCATATTCTTCAAATGTTCTATCTTCTTTATATATCATTACTTATTTTTGTATACATGTTTTATTGATTAATGAGAAAACTACATTAAACTCTCCCACTTTAAAAGAGGTCTGACTTAATTCTTACAGTTCTGATAATTTTTGGTTTTATGTATGTGCCTCAAATTTTAAAATTGTTAAATGTTGACAAATATTTACTTTTATCATTATCACTAGTAAATCTTTTTGTCTTAAGTTCATTTTGTCTGATATTAATATAGAAATTATGCTTTCTTTTGCTTATAATTTTGCTGGCATATTATTTTCCATCCTCTAACTTTTGATCTTTTTGTATCTTGATGTTTTGGTTATGTTTCTTGTAAACAACATATAGCTAGATTTTTTAAAAATCCATTCTAAGGAGCTTTTTGTATTTTAAATGGAGCTTTTAGTTCATTTATACTTGTAACTGACATGTTTGCATTTATATCTACTACCTTATTTTGTGCTTTATCTTCCTCTCCTTTTGTGTCTTGTTTGGATTGATTGAACATTTTTCTCATCCTACTTTTTATCTCCTCAAGAATGGAAGTTATATGTTCTGTAATTATTCTATTAATGGTTAACTTACCATCTTCTATCATGTTTACAGAAATAAACACAAATCCTCTCTGGAGAAATCCTGTTATCCTGTTCCCCCAAAATATAAGAACTTGATATTAGAGCTGTTCACAACATTCCCATACTTTCTTTTGGTGTTATGATAGGATTGCCTTTCCTCACCCCACACCTTGAATCTAAATATGGCCGTGTGACTTGCTTTGGCCAGTAAGAAGTGAAGGAGGTCATATGTGTTTAAGAATTGACAAGTGACTCACCTTATTCTTTTTCCTTTGTTATTATGAACTTGGAAAGCTATGTCAAGATGGACACTCTATTACCCTGGGTCCTTGAATGTTTATGATTAAATGAGCCACTGCACCAACCTACATACGGGCAGGAAATATAAGGGAAAATAAAGCTTCTTTGTGTTCAGCCATTCACATTTCAAGATTGCTTATTACTGTAGAATAAATCAGCCTAATTTAAATGATTCAATATTTTAACGCTACCCCTTTCTAATGTAAATACTATTATTGGGCATTCAATTTTATCTTGCTTTTGGTAGACCCCAAAGTATTATTTTATATGGTCAAAATTTATTTACAACTGTTTGTGAACTTTACCTTTATTTAGATATCAGATATTTCATAAATGACCACTTTTCTTCTGCCTGAAATATATTATTTAGAATTTTCTTTAGCATGGGTCTGTTTGCAAACTTTTGTACTTTTGGTTAATCTAAAAGTGTATTTTGTACTTATTCTTGAAATATGTTTTAATTGATTATAAAATTTAGTTCAATAGTCTAGATGTAAATTATAATTTTTATTCATTGATCTTCTTGAATCTATAATTTAATGTTTTCCATTAGTTCCGGAAACTTTTTAGTCATTTTCTCTTTACTTATTGGCTTTGCCTAATGATTTCGCTTTTTCCTTGTGGAACCCTATTTAAGATGTATATTGGAAATCACTCTATCCTTCATATTTTTAAATTTGTCATTCATATTGTCTATCTATCTGTACTACCTCTGGATAATTTCTTAGTTCTCTCCTTAGCTGTCTCTAATCTTCTGTCAAACAAATCCACTGGGATTTTCCTTTCAATTCTTACATTTTTTACTAATAGATAGTCTATTCCTCTATTATTTATATGTGCTTGGTCATTTTTTAGTTTATTATTCTCAACACATATTTTCAAGCTTGTCTTTTATTTCATTAAATTTATTACGGATAGCACTTTTAGTTTGTGTCTGATACTCTCAAAACTGAAGTCTGTGTCTCTACTTCTGCTGAATCTATATATCTTGTATCTATGTATATGTCTGTATCTGTATTTATATCCACACACATTCTAATTTTCACTCATGGTGCCTTACTTCCTTGTTTATGTGTTTGTTTATTCACCTATTCATTTTTACTGTAAGCTGTTGCTTTTTCCCTGGAATTCCATCTGTTGGTATATTCTGAGACCTGGGATGAAGAAAGATTTTTCCAGAGAGGATTTGTGTTTGTTTTGGGAAGGTGCTAGAAAGGTAACTCTTTAAATCTTTGTCTTGACATTATTTTTTGGTCCAGCAAGGTTATTTGAATTCTGGCTACAAACTGGTATAAAGGCAGCAGTTGTTAAACATTCAGTGAGCCAATACCTTTCTCTTCTCTCTCTCTCTCTACCATTCAGACTCAAGGCTGCAAACAGGCACTTCTCCTTGCAGTCTTTTATGTGTCTGTAAGGGTGGGCAAGTCCTTTCTGATCTACCCTTATATGAAGGAGTGCCAGAACTGTAGGGTGAAGGTCTCTTATTGGAATCCCACCCTGGGTCGACTGTAGGTCTTGCCTCCACTATCCTGTGAGGCTCAAGTTACCCAGGCTGGCAAAGATCCCCTTAGCAAAAACCAGTCTCAGTACCGGTACATTTCTCTCAGTTCATGCCTTTTGGGCAGAGGATTTTTTACTTTCTTGCTATTTTGTTGTTGCTTTAAAAATTCGACAACATATTTTGTTTATTTATTTATTTATTTGTTTATTTATTTTTGAGACAGAGTCTCACTCTGTTGCCCTGGCTAGAGTGCCGTGGTGTCAGCCTAGCTCACAGCAACCTCAAACTCTTGGCTCAGCCTCCCAAGTAGCTGGGACTACAGCCATGCACCACCATGCCCAGCTAATTTTTTCTATGTATTTTTAGTTGGCCAATTAATTTCTTTCTATTTGTTTTGGTAGAGATGGGGGTCTCGCTCTTGCTCAGACTGGTTTCGAACTCCTGACCTTGAGAGATCCTCCTGCCTCGGCCTCCCAGAGTGCCAGGATTACAGGCGTGAGCCACGGCCAACAATGTATTTTATTAAAAACTTTTTTGCTGTTTTCAGTGGGAACATATGTCTGAGAACCTAGCCTGCCACACTACCAGGAACAGAAGTCTTCCATTCACTTTTAGAACAAACATTTATTAATTATCTTCTAAGTGTTAGAACCTGCTCTAGGTGCTGCAGTATAGAGCATTTAAAGTATTTGATAGATTCTAACAACTTAGATGAACAACCCATAGCTCTTTCTCAAGGATGTCATGACACGGTGGAGGAGACAGACTGAGGACAAAGAACAGGAGAATACGAAAGTGCTACAGATATTCCCGACTGTTTTGTGGGCACCATGAAACACTTGCACGGGGCAACTGACACATTTGGCAGTTCTGCCTTAAGGGCCGAAAGACAGGGCATCTGTGAGCCAGGCAAAAGCATTATGGGATGCAAATACTGCTCTTCAGAGGAGATAGAAGGTGGCACACTTAAGGCTTGGAGGTGAGAGAAAATATTCCAGAAAGAGGAGTGAGACTCAGCACGTTTGGGGCAGAGCAGGCCGGAGGTGACCAGGCGGCATTCCCGGGCGGGATGGCTGCATGTTTCGGCGACTTGGACCCTCCAAGAGTGGGTTTCGGGAAGCACAGTGGGTGGGCACAGTGTCTCCCTGGCACGTTTTGCGTTGCCCAGGTGATGTGGGGACAGGTGTGTGACAAAGGTGGGCACATGGGAGGAGGCCTGGATGTGAGTGAGAGGCTGGGAGGGAGGGAGGGAGCGGCGAGGGGATCTCCAGGAGAGGGGCCACCCCGGCCACCGCACGACTCAGGGACAACCGTGTGTCCAGCATATGGTAAATGGCACATGGGGGGCAGCAGGGGGCACAGGGCCCTCTTCGGTAGCTGTCAGAGCACGCCCACTACCAGGGAGGGAAATACGTTGCATTTAATTCTCAGCTGTGGCAAGAACTTAAAAGGGCAGCAGTCTTTGGTGAGAGGTGGTGGTGACCTGTTTTCCACTATATGTTCCGCCCGGGCTTCAGAATCACACCCGTCCCCTCCTGCCCTGGAGGTGTCTTCGTGATGAGGCGGAGAAAGCCATCGTCGTTGTTTCACTTATCTTTTAAATCCAGGTGTCGTGCAAGCAAGATTTGTCTAAGATCCCGAGTAAAAAAAAATGAGGTTCCCCAGCACGAGCACCTGCCTGCTTCTCGGTGTTTCCCGGCTGTAGCCCTAACGCAATTCCCCACTCTAGCCAGCTGCCCCGTTACTATCACACCTCCATCGTTTGAAAGATGAGCTTCCCAACCCCCGTGATCCATTCGCTGGGACAGTTTCTGCCCTGGTCCCCTGGTGGGTACCGGCCTGTGTCCTCACAGCCCAGTCCCGCCCTCGCCAGCTTGCTCAGGGCCCGGAGCCCAGGCCGCACCCGCGGTGCCCATGGCGTGGTGACAAGAGTTCTATCTACTCAGACAAAAACAAGTCTGTATGTTATATGTATATCCTGTGTTTATATGGTTTGCACAGCGGTAGACGTATACCGTACCAAACCCAAGCGTGTACGCGTTCACATGTGGGAACACGACACCGGTGTCTCCCGCCTTCTGCCCAGATGGCAGGGTGCCTCCCTCCTCTCCCCGACTTCTCCTCTGACTCCCCCGGGGGGAGCCGGCCTCAGCGCTCGTCCTCTGTTCTCCCCCACGCCTGCGCTTTCTCTTTGACACCTTTGGAAGTAGACCCCTATAAAATTCCAGGGAGTAGTATAGTTATTGATGCATTTTTCTGTGACATTTTTCAGAGGGGCTCAGGTTCTTTGCTAAGCACAGCTGTGCTCACACAGGCAGCCTGAGGGCCCAACCCAGTCAACGGAGGGTAATGCTCTCTCGGGGTGCGGTCACCCCCTGCTCGAGTCCACGGCGCTCTTGAAGACGGCAGCCAGCCTCTGCCTCTGCGTCCTGGCCTGGTCTCCGTGCAAATGGCGCAGCAAAACTTGCGCTGCAACAAGGAGGCGAAGAAAAGGTAGGCGGCGCACAGATGGGATTGCTCAGTCCACAGACTGAGCAACTGACCCACCACAGCCGTCCTCAAGTCACTGTGTGCATTTCTGCAGGGGCGGGAAGGTTCCGGGGGGCTGCGCTAGTCTGACTGCCGGGAAGAGCGGCCCAGGCACTTCCCGAGACAGGGAGAAACGTGTGTTGTGAGCTGGTGAAGGTGTTCCCCTGCGGGTGGCCTGGCTCCGGGGCTTTGAGAAAACAGGAGGAATGAGGACAGCCTCCTTCATCTTCATTTGCTTGTTATTTTCTTGCTCGTGTTTCTCCAGCATTAGCATTTAGAAGAAGAAACTTTCGGCAGGTTTTGCAGTCCGTGAGAAAGGACATCCGGGTCCCTGGTCATTGCGGGTCAGGCCGGCGGTACCCGGACACGAGCGGGCACGGTACACAGCCACAGCTGGGGCTTCGACAGAGAGTTTCAAGAGCGTTTTTGTGAATGTTTCTTGGGGACCGGCTGCAGGCTGTTGGCACCAGGCTGGCATCAGGCGTGTCTCCCATTGGTTACCGATCACATTGGTTAACGCGGCTGTGTCTCCTCTGACTATCACGCGGTGGGGGAAATGCTCTGGAATAAATACCCTAATCTAGTTGTTCTGGGGCATGCACAGATACTGTCTATCTTTGAAATGTCCAGGCCGTATAAACTGCTGTTTAGTGTACAAAGTAGAATTTAATATGAGGGTTTGTAAGGTTTAAATATCATTGCATAGTGGTGACTTTTTAAGCAATCACAGTTTTTTATATGCCCATTACATGCGTAGTAGGAGTTCAGCTAGATTTTATTTGAATGCTTTGGCTTAGCTATAAAATACGTAAATTAATCACGTACAAAAACGCGTGAAATATCTTGCTGACCACGTGAAAGAACGCCTGGGCGAACCCTTAAGGAGACATGCATTTCTTAAGAAGGCACGTGAAATTCTCTCAGTGATTCCAGGCTGTTTATGTACACGCCCTTAGTTCAGCGCCAGGAAATAATATTAGTAGAAGAAAATAATAATGACAGATTCTCACGGAACATACACCAGTTCCAGGCAATGTGCTAAGGGGCTTATATTCATTCGTTCATTTAACCCTCTTAAGAGCCCACTTTATCCCCAATTTATAGATGCGGCATCTGAGGTTTGAGGTTGAAGTTACCTGTCCAAACCCACCAGAGTGAGAAAGTATTCATAAATCCAGATAGCCTACGTTATGCTGACAAAGAGATATGCTTCCCCGTGAGAAAGATATTTCTAGAACACCTTAAATATGTAGGTTTCTAATTGGAAACTCTGAATGACAAGTGTAAGTGCTCTCCTACTCCTGCACAAAATATTATTATTATTATTATTTTGAGTAGCTATAAGCTCAACTGTGTACTTCTGGCTGGGGAATGGGCTGCCCTTGGGCCACGAAGGGAAACCCCTTTTCTTTCTCGACCACTGTGGCTAGAACTGTCACTATGCGGCAAAATTGGCCTCCAAACGTATGCACAAAATTGGGTTTAACGATCTTGGGGTAAAACCTGGGGTCTTCAAGGCCTGTCCCAGGTACCCTTGGGCGGGACCGTGACAGAGTGTGGTGGCCACTGCTGTCTTGGCTGTGGCCTAGACGGCGACTCACTTTCTAACCTACCATTCCTTACAGCGACAATTGCAAGGGCTTAGGGATGCCTCCTCGTTCTTTAAACTGGGGCGGAGGGGATCGCGTCGCTGCTGATACCTGAACACACACAGACACAGACACACACACACACGGAGTGCGAAAAGCCACTGCCCGGTGGGACAGAAACGCAGAAGAGGGGACTCAGGAACGGAGAGCTCAGGGCAGATTCGAGTACTGGGAACCTTCCTAGGTGCCAGGGGGGAAACCGGACATTGCCCTGAGAAACAGGCGCCGTCACAGACCTCCCCGGAGGAAGTGTGAGGACAGGCTTTTGTTGGAGACCTGACTTTTCAGCGTTTCCTGGTGATTCCGAGCGACAGTCACGACTGTGATCAGCACAAGAGCACTCGCAGTACCGACCCGGCCACCTCACCCCTGCGGCGGTCACTAGGCAGCGTGTGCTGAGGGATGCGTGTGCGATCTGCGCCGTGCACTTCCCCATTAGCGAAAAGTAGGGAAAATTAGATTTCAGTAGCCCTAGCGCCTCCCCCACCCATGTGTCCCTTTGTGAGGGTTCAGTTAGGCTGGATCCACTGTGGTCCAAGAGCATTACATGGAAAGTTCCAGAAGTAAACAGCTCATACGTTTTTGCACCGCGAGCCACTCTGAGTAGCATGGTGAAGTCTCGCACCGCCCTGCCCGGGACGCGGGTCCTCCCTTTGTGCTGCGCGTCCTTGCTGTGGACGCCTCCCGCCCTTCAGTCGCTTCGCAGCTGTCTGGGTCCTCAGAGCAACTGCTTGCGTGCAAGCCTCCCTTATTGTACTTAGTAACGGCCCCACAGTGCAGGAGTGGTGACGCTGGCAATGCAGGCATGACAAAGAGGAGCTGTGCAATGGTTCCTTTACGTGACAAGGGAGACCTTCACCGCAGGCGTGCATATACAGGAGGAAGCATCGTGTGCACAGGGCCCGCTACTCCCTGCGGTTTCGGGCCTCCCCTGGGGGCGTGGGGACGCAGCCCTGCAGAGAGAGGGGACTGCTGAATTTCAGTTCTCTCGGTCCCAATCTAAGC